TGTCTTGGTAACATTGCTATATTATTCATGTTATACTGTTATCAATTTGCAGTCCTTTTGTTCGACTTTGCTTGGATTAAAAGACATTTTCTTTACCGGTAATGACCTTGGTTCTTGACTGTTGTAGGTGTGGCTCCTGGGACCATGGGTGCCCTTGTAGCTGCCTCAGTCATTGCTGCACAACAACAACAGCATCAAGCAGTTCAACAGACAGCAACATCACAAAATAACATAATAGGAGGCACAGGAGGTTTAGTGAACAGTAATGCTGTGTCTACAGGAGGTGCTACAAATACCTCTTCAATGATAGGAGTACAAGGTGTTCCAGGAGTCACTGGCATTGGTAAATATTGATAAAAATATAAATAATAATAATAATAATAATAATAATAACAATTATACTACTGATAATAATAATAATAATAATAATAAATGCTTGTATAACAACAACTATCCAATTCATGCTAGGTGATTTACAAAATTAAGGAACAAAAAGAAACTAAATCAATATTTTAAAAAAATTGAAGTTGCTATGAAAAAAACCTTTTTCAAATAATAGGTCTTCAGCTTAGATTTAAGAGTGTCTAAATTGTCACATGAGTGGATGTCATCAAGCAAAGTATTCCAGAGTTAGGGGGCAGAATAATCTAAGGCTTGAGACCTGTAGGACTTCAGATTAGCAGCATTTAGGTGTGCAGTTGTTTATACTTGTAGCAAATACCGCATCAATACTCTAAGTCCTTGAAAATACACTTGTTGTAGTCATAGGGGAGTCTCTTAGTTGGTTCAAAAGGTGACAGATTCCAGTTGACATTATGGCATGAAGATGACCAACAGTTTGGAGTTGAAATGTTGTAATCAACATGTGAAGCAACTACATTTTGAGACAAATGAACACAAGTCAATACAAAAAATTTCATTCCATCATTCATTTTAGGTATGAACATGCCTGGAATGGGTGTAGGAAATCTTGGTACTATGGGAGCTGCTGGTGCTCTCAGTATGGCTGGGATTCCTGGCCTTGGTAACATGACTGGTGTCTCAAGTGTTGGTGGTAACATTCAGACTGGAGATGCACTCACTCAGGCATACTCTGGAATACAACAGTATAATGGTAAGTAAGCATAGAGCATTTGCTCACTTTTAGCGGAACCCCACAATGTAAACCTTGCTCTGCTACCAGCATGGTTTTGAGTTTCATGGTTTGACTGAACTTGACCTCCAGTATAGCAAATATATATGGCGAATCTTACTCTAAAACTAGTTAACAACTTCTGCACATGGTCGCTAAAGAAATTGTTTCAGAGTTCACAGTCATGTGACATGAGATTACTCCTTTCAAATGTGCAGTAATGAAACAACCTTCCTTTACAGCAAGAGGTGACAAGTTTAAAGATAAGAGATTTAAGTGATAATTGTAAGTTTGAGGTTTTTTGGACCAGACTGTGCCCAACACTCAGTAGTTTTACCACTAGCTTAAAATCTCAATTGATGTAGTTGGTCACATACAAAAACTGAAGATTGTGCTTAGTTATGTCTAATATTTTTTTCCTGCAGCACAATTTCCTGGTGTTTATGGTCAAACTATATTCCAACAGCAACAACTCCAAAGACAACCCCAAAAGGAAGGTATGCACAATTTCCTATGAGTTACTGTGTATTTACACTAAAGTATAGTCAATGGGACTATTGGCTGCCTGTTACATTTCACATGCCAATTACTTCTCTGCTAACTGTTCATTGTTTGCTGTTACTTAGGTCCTGAGGGAGCAAATTTATTTATTTATCACTTGCCTCAAGAGTTTACTGATGCTGACCTCATGCAGACATTTATGCCATTTGGCAATGTATTAAGTGCTAAAGTGTTTATAGATAAAAGCACAAACCTAAGCAAATGCTTTGGTAAGTTTTTGTACTTGCAATTAGGAATAAAGTTTTGCATGTGGTGCATTGCATTTTGTTGAACATTTGATCAACCAATTTGGTATAGCAAGAGATTAACTGTCTCAAAGTGCTTCTAAGGGGGAGTTTAAAAATTTTTGCCTCTTTCAAAAGTTCTTCTTACTTAAGTCACCATTACAAATCTTCAAGTTCTACAGGTAAGTAATATCTAGTTTAGAAAGGTTGAAATTTTGCTTTCTAATGGCATCATGTTGTGTGACATGGCATCAGTAATAAAAATAGTAGTTTAAAGATTTTAGTTATTCTGTCAACTCTTTTGAATAGTAAAATATCACAAACAAATAATTTCAGCTCTTAGCACAAGTTTATGTAAACACTATGAGAAAGGGATTGGCATCTTTGAATCGTGAACAATCTTACAAGTTACATTTTGTGTTTCTTGGCACAGAGTACTTTAACTAACATGTGTTTCTTTACAGCTGTCGGTTTTCGTATTTTGAGATAGATGTGTGTTAATGGTTCTTTTTGTTCCACCGGTTTTCCTTCTCCTTCTACCTGAGGTCAAAATATGCTTCCAAGTTGAACAAAACTAGGAAATGAAGCTTTGCACGTGATAATTACTCTCAGTATTTAGATCTCTCCAATTCTACCCATTCACTTGGCCCACTAGGCCATCATTACACTAGCCATGCAAACTGGCACTAATGAGACAACATTTCTCAATAGTTGTGCCTGGTTGTAAGCAGATATTTGCTCTTTCTGTATTGCAGGCTTTGTCAGTTATGATAACCCAGTCTCTGCTCAGAATGCCATTACATCCATGAATGGTTTTCAGATAGGGACAAAGAGACTTAAAGTTCAGCTTAAAAGACCAAAAGATGCAAATAGACCCTACTAACCCCTGGTGAGTAAACTATGTTTATTATCATCTAATGCCATTTGTGCAAGCCTTGAGTGCCATAGTTTACTGACTAAAAAAATCACATTTTCATTCTTGTGTCATCCAGGCAGCTTTTAAATTTTACTTTGTGCTACCAAGACATCACTCAGAGGTCTGCCTCCAGTTTCAGGCAAAGTGCGTCTGTGTCAAGTTTTCATTCCCTTCCTCTCATTACACATCATTACTTTCATAACTCATGCAAACCTTTTAATACTCAGTTGTTGCTAAAAAATGGGAGGACTGCCCTCATTGGAACACTTATGCTCATGAACATTCCTTCAGCCTTAACTTGCAGAATTCTTGACTGTGCACTAGTATGGGGAGTTTTCCATTGAATCTTGTTAATCTGGAGATAGGAAAAATATTGCTAGTTCCTTGTTAATCTTACCTTCTGCGAAATGAAAGATTTCGAGCCCTTGATATGACTGACTATGAACAAAACTTAAGCCCTGGAAATAGATTAAGAGACTTAAACGTATAAAGAATTATAAATGGCTATTTAAGACAACTTTTTCAGTGAAAGAAGGTGATGTAGATATAAACAAAACCCAATTGTCACAAGGGGTAGGGAGATGTGTCCTTTTGTATTGTTAGAATTCAGGTTTCATGGGGGAAGCCACTTAAGTGCACAAAGCATCAATAATGTTTTTAGCTGTTAGTTGTAATCGTGGAGGAATCCACCTGTTAGGAAAGAGTGCAGAGGTTATGGCAGCAGGATAAAGAAACGGTCTGTGTCTATTGGACGCACCGTGGAACACATATGAATTCTTCCTTTGTGGGTGTTTATTTTGGTTGGAACTCATTGAAAAATGGGTTCTATTACTGCTGTATAAACACGTGCCAAAGAGCAGGGTCGCTTACTGTTCTTTGACCAGTGTAACCAGTATGACTGAGTTTGGTTTGTATCCCAGAAGCCTGAAGTTTCCGCTAACGTGCAATGAAAAAATTCGGCGCAGGATTTCTTGGATTTCTAGATGAATGGTGAGAGTTATGACTGGCGAATTACTGACAATTAGAGCTCATTTCTGGCAGAAATATTGATGAGGACAGACTGTCGTAGAGTGTGCTGTGGTGGTAGTAATCATAGTCAAGTGCTTGTAGTAAATGTGTGTCATCGTGCAGCGCTTCTAACACGTTCCCTTGTCTTTGCCTCGCCTAGATCACGTGACTGTGTACGTTTGTTCTTCGTCTTGGCGGTGACCTTTGCGCATGTGCTTTTTGTGTACCACAGTTGGTGACGTCACTTGTGACGTTTATATATCGTCACTGTTGGTGTTGGGATTCAGTAATACGTCACTGTGAAGCAGTTAAACGTCGTTGTTGAATACGTAAAATCGGTGCATGTTAGTTAAGCGGTTTTGTTAACTAGTTTCCAGTCCAGTTGTGGCGTTATTTGTCATGTGACTTTTCATATTTTGTCAGGCGAGCTCACTGTTTACTATTTATAGAGCGCGTTTCGTGTTAATGGTTAATGTTATCGTCCAACTATGGGCTCTAGTGTGTTATCAGTGGTTGTGCAGGTTTTATAAAAACCTTGTATTGTCAGTGAGGTATAGATGGCGTTTGTACGAGCCTGACTTTTAAATAATAAAAGAAATTCACCTTTAGAATCGCGGTTCTTCTGTGTTGTTTGTGTTTTTTAGTTTGAATGGACAAAGATACGCTTATATATAAGAGAAGGAAGGGAACAATCACAGCCGCCATTAAAAGGCAGACAAAGCTCTGACCATCAAATTAAAGTCAGTACATTCTTTGATCAAAAGTAGGAGGGTTAGTTTCTTTATTCGATTCGGGCTTTTTGAATTTAAGGTGATATTTTTTATTAGATTGGTTTGTATATTCAGGGAAAATATACAAATATACTGAGAAATAGTGATCCCAACTCTTGAAACTGCACCTATGAGGTTCAATTGTGAGCTTAAAAAAAGGAAAAAATTGCGCCAAAAAGGGTGGACTCTCAGAAAATCTAGGTAAAGAACAAGGAACCAATCAAAAACTTGACCATTAACAGTGGTGGTAATATTATGATGGCGGTGAAGTACGTAGGTGGTGTAAAGTCACATAATGTATCACAGCTCAACTAGAGACCGTCTCGTTTTTTGTTTTTTTTTTTCTGTTTGCTCTTTAGTATCATACTCATTTGAAAAATATAGAAAAGGAGACTTTGACGGCAATTACAAACTTTAAGGATGGTGTTTGTCGTGTGTAAGTGATAAGGGAGGTTTTTTGGCAGCTCGTATAATAAACGTACTGCTGAACAAGAAAGAAATTTTTAGATACTAGATACGAGTCGTCTTTTTAACTCCACTCCCTAAGATTGGAGATTGCTAAATGATAAAAAATTATCCTTTTAAATATCATTCTGGACGAATGATCATGAAGATGGATTGAAAATCTTTTGGGTGGGAAACGATATAATTTTTCAGTTTTCTTTCCTATCTGGCTAGAGAATGATGCGTAACTTATATGAAATAGCTATGAAATTATGCGAGACTTAATCAATATTTCATGTAAAAATGAAATCTAAGTAAATTTCATCTACTTAGATTTTCCGTTTTTATTGTGGGTTTAATAGGTGTGTCAGATTTTTTTAAAATACGGTTCTAAATCGTGACAGGTCTTCATGTGTCAACTAAAGGCGGATTTCATAACAGAAATTTGTTCTGGAAAATTTTTGACATCAATCAATTTTGCTCATCATTGCCAGACGTAAATAAAAAAATCATTGTTTATACCCATTGATACTTTGAATTTTAGGAGGAAGATAAAGTGTTTTTTTTTTTCGTTTTCATAATAATACCGGCGCAGTCGGTGTCAACAACTCGGAGATGAAAAACAATTTAAATTAGAAATAAGGATTAACAAGGCTTGAAGCAGGATAGAAAAAGGCGAACAAAGAAATTATGATGAAAATTTAATACAATATATTTGCAGAATTTACATTAGAATTAGTTTCATATCCTTCCATCGTTTCTTCCTACCATTTTTTGAGATAAATTTTTCCATCGGGCCAGTGCAAAGACGAGTAAAAACAGGAGCTTGGAGTATTCAACTGAAGAAGAACAATCTTCATTTGTTCTGTTACTCCTCGCCGTGCCGAACATGATACTCAGAGGTTACCTCCAGTGTTCCCAGTGAGCTGAAAATTGATATTTATTTTTGTTGCATTGCGTTTAAGAGAAAAGCACAGAGGAACCCCGGCCAGGGTAGAAAACCGAACCTTACCGAAAGAAATATCTGAGGAAGTCGATACACGGAACCAGAGAAACTATAAAAAATGGATTTCGGTCCAAACTAAGTGAAGTTATATCAGCACTCTTTGAGAGCTAAACTACATAGGATTTTCTCAATATTAATCTCAAGAGACTGAACACCTGCCGATGTACTAGACACGTTCACAATTGAAAAATTTGAATTAGAATTATGTTCCTGATTCATCAGCTAGAAATTAAAAATGTGGGATGCCCCTATAGATGTGTATTATACGCTTGCCTTCTCTCGTTTATTCTAACTGACTTTTTTCTTCCTTTATGCGGAAAAATCTTTCTCAAGAAATACTGAAACGTGGCTTGAAATTTTGCAAACCTGTAGGAATATAACACAGGATTCAAAGCAGAATTTAAGATAGCAAACAATTGCGCTGCATAGGTGCAAACCATCACCGTTTTTCGATGACTGTGGCAACCTTTGCAAAAGTATATCACGAATTGATTTCCCAGCCATGGTATAAAACAGAGGTAAAATACAAAAATAACTGAAAGGATAACTTTGAAAACTTTTTTCTCTCTCTGATAAGCCAAAGCTGTATTTGATTGTGAATTACTAACCACTATTCTTGAGTGGGAGTGTTTGGAAAGATTTCTCAGAGTAACGAAGTACAGAATACAAATGCATTCAGAGCAAATAAACAGCAGTACAACAGAAACAAACCAAATAAGAAGGAAATATTGTTGCAGGAGGCTGAAAGTTAATGCATAGCAAATAGAATACACCCATATAGCGCTAGATGCGATCGTCACTGTCTTTTTGGTTATTATCACTCGATATTTTAGAGGTGTTGCCAATGCATAGTACCTGTCGATAGTCAGCAACAACACATTGCCAACAGAGACTACCAAGGACGAACAACTAAGTATCACAATGATGTATCCTAAAGATGGAGCTGCCTTTCCAATTCGGAAAAACCACACGGCTGCCCCAGGGCCAATCATCAACCCCACAATCAAGTCCGCTTCTGATAATGACAAAAGTATGAGGTTTGAAGGAGAGTTTTTCAGGATCTTCAAAGGGTCTTTGTAGACTGCAATGATTACAAGTGCATTCCCCACCACAGTTATCAGTGATAACAATGAGTAGATGAAGCCAAAAATCGTCGCTATTCCACGAGACTCGGGGGCTTTCAGCTCTTCAATAAATACGTCAATGGCTGATTGTACTGAGGCGTTCCAGAAATTCATGTGCCCTAGCAGTGCCGCCATGATATTTCCTGTGGCTTCCGAGGCCGAGAGAATGTAGAGTTCGAAGATTTTATGAGATTTTTGTTAACTCTTTTCTATAGAAAGTGAATGAATCTTCTTTTGCTGTGCCGTCAGCTTTCGTGGAAATTCTCGATTTTCAGCACGACTTTGCTTAGAGTTTTTTTTATCTCTCATTAATTGGTGTAAAGGAAAAGAATGGTTGTAATTAAATTTTACCGTTAATTTTCTGTTCATTTGAAGAAAAACTAGGATTGTACTTGCGTCAGCTAGCGGAAGTGTGATGACATCTTTCAGATAGAAACGAATATTAACTGATTTCGCATGTAATGTTGTTTTTAAAGGGAACACTTTCATTGGAGGGTTTGTCAACTGTGCATTAGTATACAAGTACAGATATAATATATATGCAAATATTGTTTATTTAGATATAAACTTAAAAGGCTGGAAACATAATTAAACTTTAAAAATAATGTGACCTTAAAATATTTGCAGCACGAAAGGTGATCTAATGGATAACCTAAGATGAATGTAATGCCGTTAAGGGTATAGGACCGTGGTGACTTTTCTGATAAAATTATTTATTTTTTTGCGGTTGAATTTTATTTTAAAGTGTTGGACATTAACGCCATATTACTGAGTAATGATAAAGAGGAAGGAAAGGAACAAATGACTTTTTGTTTGTTGAATTTGGTCGAAATTAGAGAAAGCGAGTTCTTTAATTATTTTTCATTGAATCCAAGAGAATCCTCTCATGTCGAATCGTGATGATTGTCGAGAGAACATTCTTCATTTTTCAAAGGAAGTCGACAAGGTGGACTCTTCCGCGTAAGGTTCCTCGTTAGTTATAGTAATACAGACAGAGTGGCGGATTATGCGAGGGAAGGAAGGAGTAGACTGATCATTTATTTATCACCTGGCAGATGTGGAGATAGGATTTTGTTGTGTCACTATAAAATTTATCTGATCCCCCTATAAGGCTCTGTAATATTGTTATGATCCCCCTCATTGGCAGTCAATTTTCTAAATTCCCCCCTTTATACACTGTTGTTGACGGCTGATACCTCCTCTGTCCCCCCCTGAAAACCATGTGATCCCCATAAAATACTTCGCCCACCCCCCCCCCCCCCCCCCCCCCAAGTGTTATGAATTATGATAGGTCGCTACGTTGGAAGGACTCTCTAAGACTGATACAGGCAGATGGGTTGATTTAGGGACAAAACTTCTACAAGCAGACTGGTTAATTCAGAGCATGGATCTGACATAGCCAATGGGGCTGGGCGAGAGGGTGGAGAAGGTTTGTACCGCGGGCAAAGCTGATTCAGACCGATGCGGGGTAACGCGAAGATGGAACACAGGGGCATGGCTGTTGGGCTGGTTTGGTGGGTGGTCTTGTGCACTGGTACAGTTTGTGAAGCTGATGCAGGCAGACGAACTCGATGAGTATTTGAGTCGTTTGTTGCACAAAGTGCGGCAAATCATGTCAGCTTGTGTGAGAGGAATCGCGTCGTCCTTCATCCTAGCGTGAAGGTAGTAACAAGGGCGGTATGTGTAAAATTATTAGTAAGAATAATACATACCA